TTTGCTGAGTTGTGCCAGTCTAAACCAAAGATATTGCCACACACTATCCTATATTGCTGTAGTGATCAAGTTGCTCTTGCTTGAAAACCACTGATTGAAGAATTTCAGTCTAAGGCATCTCATCACAGATGACTCCTCTCCTCTCCTCTGCTCCACTGATGCTTTCTTATTATTTCCTACAGTTACGTTTGTCTGTCATATCAATACCTGGCTTCTTTCAGAGGAGGGTGCAGAGATCTGTGCTTAAGTGTGAATGAAAGTGAAGACCTGCAGAATGACAGATGGACCAGATGGAGTTGAATGTCAGGAACCTCTGGGAATGAACAGATGGTACTCCAGTGCCTTCCCTTTTGATTCTTCCATTTAAGAGGACCATTTAAGAGCAATGTCTGTTACTGACGTTCTCTCATCCCCATCTTCCAAGGGTCTGAACTTTTTATCTGAAGTTATTGTGACATCTTAGCCCTGGGTTTCCTGGCTCCCTCATCTTTTTCTTATTTTGTCATTTCTTGGAGATTTTAGGAATCCTTGGCAAAAGGAAAGACTTGTCCTGGTGAGTTGAAATTTGTGTATCAAAGGAAGTGTTCCATACTTTACATTGGCTTTACTCCCTCCCAATGACAACAGCTCTCCTACCTCAGCCAGTGTCATGGCAGCAAGTGATAACTGTGATTAGGTCCATCAGAGCACACATGGATACATGTGTTTAACACAGAGAGTGATCCTTTTGCTCTAAGTAAAACAGTGTATTTTTGTTCCTGTATGCTGTTGCCTTAGCTAGACACCTCTTAATGTGAAACAGCTTCAAAATTCACCTTATCTTTGATCTCACCAATCTTTGTAGACAGCATTCCTATGTCTGTTGAGCTGTCTTTAAAGAATATTAGAGAAGAACAATTTAGTTTTGATGACTTGAGTTTAGTGGAGGATGAGTGAAAAGGAATGTTGAGTGCTTATCTGATGACCACAAAAATACGGATGACTAATATTTCTGTTAGAGTAACCATTGGTTTCATAGCAACAGAATTTGATTTCTTCCAACAGAATTTGGAGTTAGCTAGTTTGGAACAATGATGATCTTAGGCACCATTTGTATGTTTACAACAGAGAGTTTTATTATTGTTGTTGTTGTTTTTCTTTTACATTAAATTAAATGGGAAATTTTTGGTTATTGAAGGTCAAATGCATGAACTATAGTCATAGGCTTATTCCATGCATGATACATAACTTCTGGAATGATGAATAACATGGTACATAAACAAAATATAATCCATGTTGGTGATTGAATGGAGTACCACTTCCTTGTTTTGATACAATAACTTGTATTAAATTTGCAAACATGAGGAATTGAGTTTGGATCCCAAGCAATCATGTAAAAAGTTACATAGTGGAACATATCTATAATCTTAGTGCTGGAGAAACAAAGATGGGGGCTCCTGGAGCTCTTTTGGCAGATAACCCCTCTGAATGAGTGAAAAATCCTGCCTCAAAATTTAGAATACTGAAATAGATACCTAATATCAAACTCCGGCCTATACATGTATACACACATATAAATGCACAAACAAGCACATGTATACACAAACACATGCACACTTACCCACAAATATTGACATCACTGGTTTCATGTTAATGTGAATGGATGCTACCTATAAAAAGAAAAGCACCACCACCAACAAAAACCCCTTTCCTTTGATATTAGCAATGATTTTATATTTTACTTATGAAAATTCACCATCTTATGAATGATATATTTTCAGAAGATAATTGTTTTCAATAAATAGAGGGAAGTCAGGCATGGTGGTGTCCAACTTTAATCCCAGTACTTGGGAGGCATATCTCTGTGAGTTTGGTCAGTCTGGTCTACAAAGTGAGTTCCAGACCAGCCAAGGGTACATAGTGAGACTCTGTGTCAAAAAGAAAAAAGAAAAAGAAAATGAAAAAGAAAAAGAAAATGGGGCCTTCCTGTGTGTGTATATTCCTGCGTCTGTGTGATAAGTGTTTAGATACTGATAAAGATATGTAACTCTTAAAGTGTTTTTAAATAATTGTAGATGTGTAAGCAGTTGTAAAAATACTAGAAAGATTCCATATACTCTAGTCTTCTCTCTTTCCTGTTAATTTCAAGTTTACAAAAAAATGTGATCCAATCCAGTAAAAGGACAATATGTTTATTTCATTCTATTACATATAAATGTGTAACTACCACTATAATCAATATATAAGACTTTTCTATCACAAACCTCCTCATGCTTCATCTTTATAATCACACCTGTGTGCCACATAATATGGCCTCAAGTCCTTGACAATCACTAACTTGTCCTCTGTCACATTTTTTACTATTTTGATCACTTTTTTTGCTACTATCAGAATGGTTTCTCCCAAGTTAATACATTGAAATTTTGTTGTTAACATGATAGAACTAAGAGGTGTGTCCCTTAGGAGATAGTAAAGTCAAAAGGCAAAATGCTCACATAAGGGATTAGAAACCTTGTAGATGGAATTTGGGGAATGGGCTCATGTTCTGCTCTTGTACCACAAGAAAACAGTTTTTGCCATTCTTTCCATTTTTATGCCTTCTCCCAAGTATACTATGTTCAAAGAAAACCATGTAAATAGAGGCCAAACATTTTACCAGACACCAAATCTGTGAGGAAATAAATTTTTGTTTGTATAAATTGCCTAATGCTAGTTATTTCATAACAGTGGACTAAATGCACTAAAATGTTCCATAGAAGTGAAATCATGGCATGACCTTTCAAGATGAGCTTTTCTACACTCAACATATTTCCGTGAATACCCATTCAAGTTGTTGTTGACATGAAGAGTTTGTTAATTGCACAGATATATTTCATAGTATTGATATGTCATTCTTTATCTGTTCATCAGGTGACAAATAGAGAAAGTGTTCCAACTTTTTTTTTTTTGTCAAGACAGCTTTTTTCAAGACTGAGCTGTGTAAGACCTCTGGCTGTCCTGGAACTAGCTCCGTAGAACAGACTGGCCTCAAACTCACAGAAATCTGCCTGCTTCTGCCTCCCAAGGGATGGGATTAAAGGCATGCACCACCACCCAGATGTTTTCACTTTTTAACTGGTACAAACGAATCAGTTATGAAATTTATATAAAAATGTCTATGTAGACCTTCATTTTCACTTTTTTGGGATGACTGACCAAAAGTGTGATTACAAAAGGTTACCAACTTAGTTAAGTCTTAAATATTAGCCAGGTGGAATAGAATAATCCTAAAGTGTTTACACCTTGTTTGAAAAGGTAAATTTAACTTTACAGAAATTGATAGTTTTATAAAACAAGTGTTTCTTCATAACATTCATGTTATAAATATTATAGTCATTTTCAAAATTTTTACTGTATTTCTAGTCTCTGTTGTAACCTCTAATTGTGTGATACTCCTAGTGAATTCCCATGGGATGGTTGCGATAGGAAACACTATCCTGAGTAACAGCTTTGCATTAGTTTACTTAAGTTGGCCATTACTGTGCAATTAAATATTTCAATAAAACAGTGTTAGAATGTGGTAAAATGGACAATATATGCTATTTTCCTTTTAAGACACACTACTTCCCGAAGTTAGTGATGAATATTATTTTAAATGCCTTCAAAATCTATCAGCCCTCCTGTTCTAAAGGCATCTCTACTTGAGGGTTATTGTCCTATCTTGTTTTCAAGCTTTTAAACATTGCAGGAATAAAAAAAATATTCTCCCACATGAGAAACTTAAGAAAACTGGCTCTAATGAAGTTCACTCAATGTTGAGATTCAGCAATATGAAACAATTTCATGGTATTTGACCCGGAGAAAATTTCTGGGACTGTCGCACGAGGCTTCTGGGATTCTCATCACACAGCAAGTCCAGTGACTGAAGCATGAAGAAGAAAGATATTGCCAAATGTGTCACAACCGCTGATGTAATTTGCAGCTCACTTCTTTTTCATGAACTAACATAGAGCATATGTGGCTAGCCGAGACTTATTTTAAGTCAGTATGTATTCAGAACTGGAAGAGAAAATGAAAGGGGAGAGAGAACCTCATAAATTAATTTGGTGGCACTTTAGATGCAGGTATAGCCTGGTTCTTGTAAGCATACATCTCAACTCTGGAGTCTGTACTTCAGCTCTCAATCCTTCCTCGACAGCTTTATTGCCTTGCAATCTTAGAATTTATGACTTGCCATTTATGGAGCCCCTATAAAATTTCAGTGGAGAAGACTCTGACCAATGTCATGATTAGAAGACAAGAGTTTAAACAATTTGGCCAAGGTCAAAAAACAATTTAATACTGAAGCTGGGATTAGATATATGCCCCAGTTCCCATCTTCTCAGTCAGTTGGATGAACCAGTTTTCTCAGCAAAGTCCAGGTTAAATGGTTTCAGTGTAAATGGTAAAAGTACCACTTTCTATGTGAAACTTTTCCAGTTTCAAGAGAAATTCTACTTTTGGCTTAATGCTAAGCTCAGTTGACATATTAATAATTAATCATCAGCTCATCTATTGCTTGTCCTTTTGCATAAAATAAATCAGTAGCAATCACTGTGTCCCTCAAATCTTCCTACAAGTGAAAAAAATCAATTTAATAGTTGATATTGCCTGTTACTCAGTATTAGAATTTCACTCTCGGTTATATAGCAACGAGAAACAGCTATATATGTTAATAAAATTATTTGCACAATCTTTTTCTTTGTAGTTTTATTCATAATAGTCCATGCATACAAGTATCTATTGACAAAGGTCTGTGTTGTATGAAGCACTACAGAATATCAATACAAAAGAACAAGCCACTTATATGAAAGTGCACACATGAACTTTAGCAACATTGTATGCATGAAAAAAATGTACAAAGAGTATATATTGTGCAACTTAATTATAGAGTAAGAAACAGAAAAAAACTTATTCTCTTTGTAGAAATCATAGAATTACTTCCCCTGAGTGACGGAAGTGTTATTAGCTAGCTTGGAGGTACAAGGAAACCTTTTTTTTTTTTTTTTTTTTTTTTATGAATGAGGCAATTTATTAACCCAGCATCCTTTGTTCTAATGCTTCTTGTTGGCAGCTGCCACCTGTCCGGCAATCCTGTCCAGATCTCTCTGTCCCTGAGGTGTTAGCTTGCGGCCCCCATCTTGGTCCTTTTCCACCATTTTCAGCCCCTCCAGGGCTTGGAGAACGCGGCAGGCCACACTCTTGGAGCCTCTGCTGAAGTGGCTGGGCCTGACACCGTTTCTCTGCCGTCCTCCATAGATCTTTGTCATGGAGCCAACCCCGGCACCACCATGCAGGTACAGGTGCCGTGCTGTAGAAGCAGCTCGTGTGTAGAACCAATTTTCATCATAGGGGGCAAGCTCTTTATGTTTGGCCAGCTTGACTGTGTCCACCCATTCGGGGACTTTCAGCTTCCCGGACTTTTTGAGGAAGGCTGCCAGAGCTCTGACGAACTCCTGCTGGTTAACGTCTTTTACAGTAACTCCAGGCATCCCTCCGCTGCCCACCTATAACCCCTTTTGGGCTCCCGGATTTGTGGCCATCAGGCATGTCCGGGCCTGTCGCTCGCACCACAAGGAAACCTTTTTAAAATAATGAGAATATTTGATATCTTCATCTGGGAGACAGTACAACAAATGCATGCACATGTAAAAATTCGTAAAGTGTTATATTTCAGATTTGAGTATTTTATCGTAGCATTATATCTTAGTATATAAAATTATAGAGAAGAAATACAAAAAGAAATTCATCTATTAAGTATTTCTGTTAAAGTTTTTACAGTGTGGTAACCACATATATATTCAAAAGTAACACAAGCTGTGATAAAAGTACAACTATAAGTCTTTTTTTTTCTTTGTCTTTGAGTCAGGATCTTGCTATGTTCCTTTGGCTGACTCTAGGTAGCCCAAGATGGCCTCCAACTCACAGAAATCCCCCTGCTTTGAATTCTGTGTGTTATAATTACAGGTATGCACCTCCATGTCCCAGCCCATCTGTAATTTTCTGTATGTGTGATGCGCCAAAGAATAACCTTGAATGTCATTCCTCAGGAACATGCACATACCTTTTGTATGTATGTGCCAGGTTCCTGCACTGGCCTGGAACATGGCAGGTAGTCCAGGATGGATGGCTGGTCAGTGAGCCCCAGAGATCTGTCTGTCTCCATTTCCCCATCACTGGGATTCTAAACCACCATATCTGGCTTTTTTTTTTCCCCAAGTGGATTCTGGTAAACCAACTTATGTCCTCCTCATAGCTATTCTTGATTAAGAATAACTTGTTACCTGTTTTCCTATCCTTCATGATCACTGAAGTTGTTGAGACTTGACCATTTCTTACTCGGGTTTGGTTTAATGTTTGTTTCTGTTTTGTTCTGGGTGAAAAAACTGAGCCAATGATACACAGAAGAAATAAGGCAGTTTTTGAAGGTTATTTGATGGGTGCTGAAGACTTGAAATGTCTATACTGAGAGCAAACATCAGGATAAAGCCAGAGCTGAGGACACAAATCAATCTTCTTTCATTCCTCCCACTCCCTAACTCCTGGCTATGGAGGGGAATGAAGAGGAAGAAAATTTAATGTTAGAAGTAGACTCATTAGAGAATTTTGTAATTTGACCCATTCACCCCATGATATTTGAAGTGTTGGTGAGTGTCTTTTTCTCTCTCCCTTTGCGTCAGTGTTTGCTCCTATTTTGTGTCAAAGTTTATATAGACACTGAAAAGTTTTGACCAGTGGTTTTTAACCTTGGATGATTTGGTTTTATAAAGAGTGACTTTAGAATGCGTGAGCATCTAGAATACCCATATGAACCTTTTCTTAGAGGTGTTTTCATTTTAGATAAGACTTACTGTCAAAGGACTTGGGTTAACTTATACTTATACCTCACAGCTTGTCTCAGGGTCTGGGTATAAAAAAAAGCCAGGTATGAGGTCCACGTGTGTAATCCCAGTGCTGGGAAAACAGGCACAGGTCTATTTCTGGGGTTTGCAGGACTGCCATGACCTAATTGGTAAGTAAGCTCCAGACCAGTGAGAGACACTATCTCAAGAGACAGTGGCATTTCTGAACATGGAACCCTAGATTTTCATCTGGTCTCTACACATGTGTGCACATAGAAACACATGGAAGCACAAATCACAGTTATACCCACATATATACCCAATGGTTAGGTGTTCATACACAGACTGAAAAAATACAATTGGATGAGACATCAAAAAACAAAAACAAACAAACAAAAAAACCCAGTCCCACCAGGTGGTGGTGGCACAAAGCCTTTAATTCCAGCAGAACTCACTCTGTGAGTTCAAGGCCAGCCTGGTTTACAGGAGCTAGTTCCAGGACAGGCATAAAAACTACACAGAGAATCCCTGTCTTGGAAAAACAAAACAGTCCTAACTAAGCTTCTGTAAATTTCTGAGTTGGTGACATAGGATGCTGGGAATCTTTTTTGATCTGACTTTCCTCACTCACAATGGGAAAGGCCAACGTCACTTATTTCAAAATCTTTTTCAATTTCAATATGCAATTACTTGACAGAAACCAACACATTCTTCACTTTAAAAAAATTAATGCCATTACTTTCAGAATATTTAAGAGAGTATAATGAGTAAAATAATGTAAAACCATTTATGTAAGTTACTATGTTTTATCTCTTTAACCTCTTACCATGACTGCCACATACAAGAGCTGCCTTTTTCTCCATAATATAAAAATGTGTCTTTATAAATTGGAGATTTAACTGTTTGACAAAATATGTTCCAGGTAAAGCAAAATAACCACACAGAACTGTTTAACATTTGTTCTCAATGTTAACTTTTAAACTTTGCTTAGAAAAATAATTCTGTTCAGAAATTTGATCTGTCTGCCTTCCTTTTGTATTGCTTTTGGCTCTTCCAAGACTTCAGAAATGTCAATTTGTTATTCATGTTGGCCTTCGCTAATCCTTCTAAAGAATGTGAAAAGGCTCAGTTTTTATATTAGGAAATACCTGAGATTAAAACGGATTAAGTCTGAATGCCTTTTTCTTGCTCCATGCTGATGTAATGAGTGTTATCACAGCATTTATAAAGGCAATAGGGTTTTATGCACTAAGCTATGATTTCTTTGCATGAACATTCAGTGTGGACATTGATACAGTTAGGTCTGGTGATGTTCTACAAGCTAAATGCCAAGATCCCACTAGGACCTTGTAAAGTGTTGAATTTAGGTGGTAGATGGAAGGTGAGAAGCAGAAGTGCATATAAAATTAAAGAATGATCAGACTTGGTTCTGGATAGGCATGACCAGTGAGGGAGTGCTGCATGGTGGGAACAACTTGTACAAGTACTAATGGATTGTTAGTAAGGTTTTCATATGAATATTCTCTATGTTGTTCTACTGTTTTCGCAAAGAATACCAGAATAACCCCTCCTTCCACAAAGGTGCTACGGACTCCACCTGACAGATGGTATATACTTTATCTTTCAAATTATTTCAAAGAAAATATTTTTTTCTTTTTTGGTTTTGGTTTTTTAAGACAGGGTTTCTCTGTGTAGCTCTGGCTATCCTGGAACTCACTCTGTAGATCAGCTGTCTTGGAACTCAGAGATCCATCTGCCTCTGACTCTGGGATTAAAGACATTTTTTTTTTACCACACCTCTTCATGGACACCTATTTAGGATAAAACAGTATGCTATGATACTTGGCAAAATCAGTCAAACTATAGTGACTGAAATACTTGTAATACTAGGCTTTATTTGTAACCCCAAGCAGATATATTAGAGACTTTAGGGAGAGTAAATATCATGTTACGTGCTAGCTTTCACTACACTAGACTATTTCACCCAAATCTAAAGTATGCTGGAATGAAATTCTCCCAAAGGTTAGGCAAAATTATTTGCCTTTAGAGAATAGATGTGGGGTGCCAGTCACCCACATCAAAATAGAAAAATGATTTCTGTAGTTGCATTCCCCCAAATGAAAGATTTGCTTCAGTAACTCAAATCTACTGCCACATTGTGACTTGCCAACTCATAGATTCATTCCAGGGAACAGTCATACAACGTGACCCTTGTTATGGTTTGATTGTGAAATCCCCCCCCCGGCCCAGGCTTATGTATTAGTCCCTAGCCAATGACACTCTCTGAGGAAGTTGTCAAACATTTTGGACTTGGTTGAACCTTAGTAGGCAGACATAGGACTGTTAGGGCCAAGGCTAGAGAGTTATATATGGCTATGCTTGATGCACAATTAATAAAAGCTCAAAGACAGAAATTGGGGTTCAACCTAAAGGTCAGAAAAGCAAAGCAGCCAGGCACTGGCTCTTACCTCTATCTCAGTCTGAAATGGCAATCCTGCCTCCAGGAATCTCAGAATGAAACTGAGCCTGAGAACTTTCTCCTCCCATTTTATAATACTCTCTAGTTCTGGGATTCAGGGCATGCATCACTACCACCTCATTTTCATGGCAAGCTAGTGTGGCTACTGGGTTTAAAGGTGTGTGTCCTTGCTGCCTGGTCTCTAAGGCTGGTCGGTGTGGCTGTTTTACTTTTCTGATCCTCAGACAAACTTTATTTATTAAAACACAAATGAAATGCTACTACATATTCTTCCTGCCCAGGCATATGTAGTGGTATTTCCTTCCTAGGCAGAGGCATTCTCTCACTGCCATAACCTACCACCATGCCTTTACTACCATGATGAACTGTATCCCCTGAACTGTGAGCCAAAATAAATCCTTTCTTCCTCAACCTGTTTCTGTCAGGTGGTCTGTCAAAGCAACAAGAAAATAACTAACACACAAATACTACAAGGAGACTGACTGCTAGGGACCAAGGGAGCAGGCTTGGGTTGGACAGGGAGGGGAGAGGCAGGGAGGGGAGCAGAGAAAAAAAATGTAGAGCTCAATAAAAAAGTCAATAAAAAACACACAAAAAAGAAAGAAACAGATTTTCAAGCTTGGCTTAATAGTTGGCAGTCTAGTTTGCAACCCACCAAGGAGGAAACAGGCAGCTAAATGAATTATTTTTTGTAGTTTATGCAAAGACATAATTGTAATGTCAAATCAATGCAAGGTTCCACTGGGAGAATCAGACTTAAATTCTTTATACCATTTAGGTAAGAAAAAAAAAACAGCTAGAGTGTACAAACAATCAACTTGACAGTTGGGTCTTCTCAGGCTAAGCACTGTGGGAGTCCACAGAAGTGGGTCAATTCCACCTTGACTGGAGGTCGGGGAGTTCAGGTCTATTCCTGCTCCTTCAAGGATATGGCAGGAGGTTTGATTCAGGGAGTGGCTCCCTAAAGGATAGTTGGCCTAAAATGTGGTTGCTGCATGTCTTACCTAAGCAACAAAATACTTAACTCAGGGTCGAGCTGTTTCATGCGTCAGGTATTGAAGAAGTTATTGTTTGTTCTTTGTATCATATTAAAGCAGTCTTTCGTCTTCTCCCCTTTTTGGATTGGGGTATATAAGCATATGGAAAGGAAATGCAGACAAATTCAGTATTCATTGAAATGCCCTCCAAATTCTATTCTTTGTCTCTGTCTTTTATTTTGTATCTCTGTTCTGT